GCGGGACCTGGGGCTTTAGCAAAAAAATGCTAAATATTAGAAGACTCTCTGTAATTTTGCAGCGTTTTTTGGAGGGGACAGGGAGCGCGGGCACTTGCTGCAGCCCTTCTTAAAACCCCTGTTTGTTTGTGGAACGGGGCTGACACCCCCAGACCCTCTCCCCCTTCTCCCCGGTCGGTGTCTCTGTGGGAAAGGCCGAGTCTCCAGCTGAACCCTCATCCTCTCTCCCCACTGCTTTAAACCCACCCTCTCACCCCCCAACCCTGCCCCACGGCCGCTCCTCCCAGTCCTGGAACCCACAGGTTCCCAGTCCCAAGCCCCCCCCACCCCATGGATGAGCGACCCCCAGTCTTGCAGCCCACTGGGAGCTGTGGGGCCACTGGTTTTCCCCGTCTGCTGAGAACGGGATAAAGACCACCATCTGCCGCTAAATCCCTGTACTGCAAACATCTCCTCCCCGCGCCCCCGAGGATTTCTCTGCTCTCCCAAAGCCACAAAGCCTGGAAGAGGCAGGGGAGGCGAAGCCTCAGGCACAAATTGACGAGAAGGGAGAAATAACATCAGGCAGAAAGAGAGAAAAAAACCAAGCTAAGGGGGTCTCCATCTCCCTAGAAAACCATCGCAGGATTTCTGGCACTGCCCTGCACGCTGGTTTTGTCCCTCCCTTGCCAGCCCCTCGTCCCTGTGTCGCTTTGCTCCTCATCATCCTTTTTTTTTTCAAGGGGTGGAAAAATAGACAGACACGGGCTGTGGTCAAAAACCAGTCCCCGGAGGTGGAAAAGGTGATGCCCCAGGACTGTAAAGCCCTGTGTAGGGGGGGAAATGAGCACTTTTTTTGGGGGGGGGGGGAAACTGGTTCTGTGGTTGCTGCCTCCGTACTGGGCAGGAGATGCACCCTGTCCATAGCATCCCTGCCTGCCTATGGGGGGGGGATATGGGGGTATTGTAAACACCCCCCCACGCTGTGGGGTTTGTCAGGTTTTCAGCCTTGAGTTTTCCAATAATCTTAGGGGGTTTTGTAAAGCTGGGGTTTGGCTTGGGCCCATCTTTAAAGGGCAGATATTTTTCCTGCAGCCGTCCCCGGCCCTTCCCCGCGTCCTACATGGCCCTTTATCCCCATACCATCCCTGTGGTGAGTTTCTTCTGGCCTCTCCTTGGGAAACAAGGTGAAACCCCCCCACAGAGAGTCAGAAACACATTCAACACACCCTTGGGCACTAGAAAAAGGTACAAGCAGCCTCTTAGATCGCTTTTAGTACTTGTTCTCCAGCCTGAAATGCTGGCTGGGCAGGAAATCTACCCCTAGGACACTGTATATAGGATTTTTAGGAGAAAGTCAGTCAGGCTGGGAAAGGAGGGGAACCTAAAGGTCTCCCCCCAAACAGCTTGGTGAAAAAAGGGGCATGGGATGGTCAACAGCCTCCCCAGCCACCTGCAGCCTATAAATTGGTTGTAAATTCGCTGCAGGTGGGGAAGCAGCCTCCTTTGGTCTCACATGTGGTCAGGTGCTGCAGTCACCGGCTGGGTAGTGCTGGGAAAAGGAGCCCAAAATCCTGGGATGAGAAAGGGGAGAGCAGTGGTCTAGGGCCATTCCCCTCCGGAGAAGGGATGCAGCTTGGACTGTGGGATCTGCCTTCAGGTGGGAGCTGCTTTTGTGGGGATTGGGTCCTGGGAGGTGAGGACAGGGAGTTGCTCTCTGTGGGATATCTCCTGCTGAACCTGGCTCCTGGGCTGGGTAGGACAGAAGGTTGTGGGTTTGTGTTTGGGAAGGGGTGGTGGGAGTTTGCACAGTGGGGAGCTGAGCCTTAGCCCTGTACAGGCGTGTGTGCTGTGAAGCAGCACCCGATTTGATCGTGTCCCCCCACCCTCCAAGGTTTTGCAGGGACCCCAGTGTGTCCTGCAGCAGAGACACAAAGTGTATTTGGTGCCGTTACCTCCCCTGGCTGCAGCCTGTTGGCCAGTGCGAGCCTTTAAACCTCATTTATTGACTCTCTGGGGAGTTTAAGGGCTCTCTTCTAACCTGAGCACCTCTGCCATGGTTCAGTGTTTGTGTTTGTGGGCACTAGAGGTGATGGGTTGTCCCTTTCCTCCAGCGTTTTCCAGTCCTGTGCCCAGTCCTGAATTGTGGGGTGGGGGTGTGTGCTAAGAGTGAGAAATCACAAATATTGCCCTTAGAAAGCTAAACCTTTCACAGAATGCTATGGGGTTGGAAGGGACCTCTGGAGATCACCCAGTCCAACCCCCAGCCAGAGCAGGTCCACCCAGAGGAGGCCCCACAGGAACGTGTCCAGGGGGGTTTGAATGTCTCCAGAGAAGGAGACTCCACCACCTCTCTGGGCAGCCTCTGCCAGGGCTCTGCCACCCTCACAGCAAACAAGTTCCTCCTCATGTTGAGATGGAACTTCTTACATTCAAGTTTGTGCCTGTTCCCTCTTGTCCTGTCCCTGGGCACCACTGGAAAAAGCCTGGCCCCATCCTCCTGACACCCACCCTGGAAGGATTTATAAGAATTGATCAGATCCCCCCTCAGCCTTCTCTTCTCCAGACTGAACAGACCCAAGTCCCTCAGCCTTTCCTCAGCACAGAGATGCTCCAGGCCCCTCAGCATCTCTGTACCCTCTGCTGTCCCCTCTCCAGCAGTTCCCTGTCCTTCTGGAACTGGGCAGCCCAGAACTGGTCCCAGTGCTCCAGATGGGGCCTCCCCAGGGCAGAGCAGAGGGGCAGGATGACCTCCCTCCACCTGCTGCTCACACTCTTCCTCATGCCCCCCAGGATGCCATTGGCTTCTTGGCCACCAGGGCCCATTGCTGGCTCCTGGGCATCCTGTTGGCCACCAGGACTCCCAGGTCTTTCTCCTCAGAGCTGCTCTGTAGCAAGTCACCTCCCAACCTTTCTTTTTCTTTCTTTTTTTTTTTTTTTTTTTTTTTAAAAGCCAAAATCAGTGAAGGTACCGTTAGGGCAGCAGTTGCATCATCACGGTCACTGCCTCTTCTGGTCAGTTTGGGCAAGTTTAAAGCCCGAAGGGTCCCTGCTGGGGGCTAAAAAAAGGTGATGGTTGTTGTGCTGGGCTGGTGCTGCCTGTCCTCCACCTCTCCCCATAACCCCCCAAGGGTGAAGGGGTCCCAGGGGTCCCATCTCCTGCCCCACTTTGCTTGGCAGCCGAGGGGGGGCCCTGGGTGGCTGTGGGTGGTTCCCATTAACACCCCGTGCAGCCCCGGGGCCAGGGGGAAAGGCCTTTGGGCTCCATCCAAGAAGCGTGGGGCTGGCTCCGGCCTCTCCTAACGACGTACCTAAAGCGGGACATCGCAGGGTTTGATCTGCCAATTAGCCTCAGCCGGGGCTGCTAACGGGAAGCAGATGGAGCTGCGTGTTATCAGAGGGGAAAATCTGCCACTTCCTCGGGAGAGCCTGGCTCAGCTTCCAACCCGGCTCCCGGGATGGAGAGCCCAGTGCTCCGGGACGGATGAGAGCCGGGAAACCTCTGGCTGCCCGTGGGAGTGGGGTTGAAGCCCCACCAGAGATGCTCCAAACCTGTTGCCTCTCTTTATCGGGCACCGTGGGATTACACAGAGCTCCTTCCCTTTCCCCATCCTTCCCTCCTTCCTTCCCTTTCCCCATCCTTCCCTCCTTCCTTCCCTTTCTCCCTCCTTCCCTCCCTCCTTCCCTCCCTCCCTTTCCCCATCCCTCCTTCCCTCCCTTTCCCCATCCCTCCC